AAAAAAACTAGGGAAAAAAATAGTAAAGCTGTTTTTACCAACTACATTGTTAGTGGATTGTTGGTATCTTTATTCTGATTGTTGATTCATTGTGGGATAAAGCAAATGAGGAATTCTGTGACTTTCTAATTCTGCCATTCCTGGTGTCCTTGAAAGTGGAATTCTTGGTGTAGGAGAAAGGAGATACAGCTTTTCATTCAAAAAAGTTAAATCCCTGTAGTCCTGAATTTGAACTGAAAGTATAAGTACAAAATCATGCATTATTTTTTTTTAAGACAAAAATGTTTTTCTAGGTGTTTCCACCAAGAAAAGGCCTAGAAACAACCCAGGAGCAATGGGCATCCCTAGCACCTAGATTCTGGTCTACAAGTACCATTTTCCATCAAAAAAGAGTGAAGAATCATTGGAATTCCTGATTTCAGGTCTGTGACAGAAAATGTAGAAAGTCAGTCTGGAATATTTCTTAAGCAAGGAAGCAATTAATGACTACTGGACTCATAAGCCAATTTGAAGAGGCTCAGTTGGGTCAAAGATGGGGTAATTTGACATCAAATCAGGAACAGTAACTGTAATGAATTGAAGCTGATCAAATGTACGTAAAGCCATGAGTTTGTGATGACACCAAAAATATAATTGGTCAGTGTTGGCAGATGCTCGGGAACCAACTTTTTAAAAACTGGGAATGAAGTATCAACCCCCTCTTTGCTATATAAATACGCCCCTGGGAAATTACATAACGAGAGGGGGCATTTCTCTTTATAGACATATTCCAGCTAATGGACGAAGGCAAAATGATCGAATTAGAATCTGACTGTTTTTGCAACCTTTAATGAATGAATGAATGAGTCTAAGCATTAATCACCAACAGCAGCCAACATGAAAAAGAGAGAAGCAACCAGACGTTGTGTGTCTCCTGATGGAAAACACATATCACCTATGGATCTGATCTGATCGAGCTTTTCTGCCCATTTGCGGTTTACAGTTGAGAGCACATTCAGCAGGTCCCCATGGGAAGCAAGACTCAGAGAGATCTACAGCACAAAGAGCCAGTTTTCTCAACAAATAAACTGCAAAGAAACCAAATAGAGATGGAGATGCTGGCTATAGATTAAAAGAGACATGAGAAGAAAATAGTTAATGTAATCCAACATGTTAGCAGAGTAAATAAAAAAAGTCATATGGTCATCTCAATAGATGCAGAAAAAAGCATTCAGCAAAATTTGACCTTCATTCATGAAAAGAAAACTCAACTCTTAGCAAACTAGGAATAGAAGGGAACTTCCCTAAACTAATAAAGGGTATCTGTGAAAACCCTACCCCTAACCTCAGACTTAATGGCGAGACAGTGAGTGCTTTTTAAGATCAGAAACAAGGTTGCACTGGGGCAAAGTTGTCCTCTCGCACCATTCCTACTAAACCTCATGTTGGAAGTCCTAGCCAGTGTAATAGGCAAGAAAAAGAAATTAAAAGCTTACAGATTTGAAAGGAAAAAAAATAAGGGGCCGGCCCAGTGGCGCAGGTGGTTAAGTGCGCGCGCTCCGCTGCGGTGGCCCGGGGTTCACCGGTTCGGATCCCGGGCGCGCACCGACGCACCGCTTATCAAGCCATGCTGTGGTGGCATCCCATATAAAGTGGAGGAAAATGGGCATGGATGTTAGCCCAGGGCCAGTCTTCCTCAGCAAAAATAGAGGAGGATTGGCAGATGTTAGCTCAGGGCCGATCTTCCTCACAACAAAAAAAGAAAGGAAAAAATAAAACAGTTCGTTGGCAGATGACATGAATACTCTACGCAGAAAATCCCAAATAATCTACAAAAAAGGCTCCAAGAACTAATAGGTGAATTTAGAAAGGTTGCAGGATAAAAGTCAAAGTCAATCGTGTTCCTATATACCAGCAATGAACAGTTGGAATTTAAAATTTAAAAAGCAATGCATCTTAATAATAGCACCAAAGAAATGAAGTACATAGATAAAATCTAAGAAAACATGCAGAATTTCTATGCTGAAAACCACAAAACACTAATGAAATGCATCAAAGAAGATCTAAATAAATGGAGAGAGATACTGTGTTCATCTATTGGAAGACTCAATACATCCAGTCATGCTTTGCTTAACAATGGGGTGCGTTCTGAGAAATGCATCCTTAGGCCATTGCATCATTGTGCAAACATCACAGGGTGTACTTACACAAACCTAGATGGTATAGCCTACTACATGCCTTGGCTCTATGGTACTAATCTTATGGGACCGCCGTTGTACATGTGGTCCATCGTTGACCGAACGTCATTATGCGATGCGTGACTGTAGTGTCAAGGTGTCGATTCTTTCCAGCTTAATCTATAGATTCAGTGCAATCCTAACCAAAATCCTGCAAGCTTTTTTATAGATATTGAGAAATTGATTCTAGGATTTACATAAAAAACAAAGGAACTAGACTAACCAAAGCAATTTC